TTTGTTATAACGTAATTCAAACCTAATTCAAAATAATCCGAACAGGGAGAAGTATACACGTGGATGGTCTTCTAAATGGAACCTGATGAGGAAAGGTTTTTTCTCATCGCGTGCGTGGGAATATATATTGTGCTTCATCATCATCAACTTCTGCTACTCAATATTCAGAGATATCGTGGCAGGGGGCATAGGAGATGGTGGATTCGACCAGTAAATCGACAAAGAGAACAGCAAGGATTCTACCACAACCTTGTATCAGAAACCCAGTTGGCAGATCATGAAGAATTTTTTGCTAACCTTCGAATGTGGCCGGAACAATTTGAATTTCTACATAACATCGTATGTCCATTGCTTGAAAGGCAGACAACTGTGATGAGAGAGCCTCTACCATCGAAACTGAGGCTAGGAATGACATTGATGTGAGCACAGCTTATCAAAAATTATCTTTATAGTCATTGTTTGTAACATCGTATGTACAAAATTATTTTATTGTTGTGCTTTTATATGTTTATATATTGCGCAATTTTCTTTTTAGGTTTCTTGCTCAAGGTGGAACAGTCCAAAGCTTGCATAATAAGTTCCGTGTTGGTAAAAGCACAGTACATCGGGTCATTGAAGAGACGTGCAAGGCAATATGGGAGAAGCTGCACCCTATTTACCTGCCTCAGCTGACCAGGAACGATTTTAAAAGAATTGCTGCTCAATTTTTTGATCTGTGGCAACTTCCTAATTGTATAGGTGCTATTGACGGCAGGCATATGCGCATTAAAGCACCACCTATGTCAGGCAGTGAATTCTACAATTATAAGGGATTTTTCAGCGTTGTTCTTTTGGCTGCAGTAGATGCCCATTACAAATTTACTTGGGTAGATGTTGGACAGTATGGTAAGTGTGCTTACTACTATTAGCACTACTTAAAATGTCAAATTTAAAGGATCTGGTTGCAATTGTATCTGTGCATTATGTTTTAGGATCCATAAGTGATGGTGGAGTTTGGTCCAACTCTGACTTTGGACAAGCTTTGAATCATGGCGAAGTTGACCTACCACTGGACAAACCTCTTCCTGGAACTGACATCTCTTTTCCATACTTCTTTGTGGGTGATGAAGCGTTTCCCCTAAAGAAGTACCTCATGCGCCCTTTTCCTGGAAGGATGCACCAAGTGCTGCCAGATGAGCAACGAATTTTTAATTACCGTTTATCTCGAGCACGGCGTGTATCGGAAAATGCTTTTGGCATACTGACAATGCGGTGGCAGATTTTGAATTCACCTCTAGTGTGTTCTGTGGAAAAAGCCGAAGACATTATCAAAGCCTTGGTTTGTCTGCACAATATGTTAATGGATAATAAAGATGATGGTTACATAAATCCTGGACAACTAGAGTTGGAACTACAAAATGGCAACATACAGGCAGGAGCTTGGACAACTGCTCAAGTAACTGAAAATTACTTTCAGAGACTTGGCAGAGTAGGAGCCAATAGGGCAGCTTCAATAGTAAGTGGTATGAGAGAACACCTTGCTAAATACTTAGCTTCAGACATAGGCACTGCTCAGGCACCTTGGCAATTTGAGCGGGCATTTCGAGGTACTCGTTTGAATTTACCGCAATGAATTCAAGGTTTTGGTAACTCCTTTACTATTGAAGCTGCTCTATTAATAATTTCAATTGCTGTAACGTATCGAAATAAACTGAACACTTGTTCCTACGGTAATTTTTTTAATTTTTTTAAATTTGCTTATATTTGAAAAATTAAAAAAAAAAACCATTTTTACGTTTAATTTATCATTAGAGATTATTAACGAGTAAACAGATGGATATTTATAAGCTGTGTGTCAATTAGTAAGATGAAGCGAATAACGGGGAAAACCGCGAGACTGCGCCGCATGTTCAAAACTCTGCCTGATTTTTGTACAAAATGTTAATAAAGGAGATAAAAAAATAATTAAAATTTCTTAAATTATAATTATAATTGTGTTTTTATTTATTTTGAATTACTGTATTAATACATATTATACCTTTAGAACATATTATAACATTTTACCTTTAATATTATAACATATTATAACATTTTACACTCCTTAATATATTTAAACTTAAAACTGAATCTTCAATTAATATAAAGGAACATACTTTGGTATTTATCACAGCTGATAAAATTAAAAAACCAGTCTTTTTTGTGCAACAAAACAAATTAAAATAAAGCCTCAAATAACATAAAAGTAAACATTTTGGTATTGATACCAAATAAAATATTACTATAGAACGACTAAACCAAAAAAATCAAATTTACGCATACATTTTAATCTTAACTTAGCGATTTCAAATTAAATTGAGTACTTGGCTATCACAGCTGCATTGAACCAACGCTCATACATTTAAGTATCAACACGAGTTTCAGAGTCATAGTTCCCTGAATGTTTTTTAGTGTAGTCTTTCACAACTGCCACCATGTCCATGACACATAATGACAGCCGTTCTTCCTCAGATACTTTATTAAGTGCAACGGCTACAAAACCTAACATTGCTTCTATATCTGATGACATATTAGGGCCACCAGAATGGGGTGCTGGCTGTACTGGCTGTGATGGTCCTTTCAAGGGCTGCACTCAGAGATGCAGCCAGAAATGAAACATCTTTTGATGACTGAGAAAGTACGTCATTTGTTTTCTCAGAATCCCGCTTCCTCTTCTTCACAGGATCATTTGGAGGCACTGTTTTGGCTGGCTGAATAGAGGCCGCCATGGTTTTCAGACTTGTTACTGAGGCGGTACCTTCTGATGCTTTCTGAATTGCATATTCCTTTCCTTCTGTTTCATTGGATATGTTGGTTCCACTTGTATTAGTGATGTCTGAGTCCAAACCTATGCAATAATAAATAATAAAATATCATTATGTTGAATCAAAAATAATATTTAGTTGAAAACAATTTTTGAAAGACTTACTAGATGAAGGAGATGAGGACAAGCAAATAAGGTCTGAATTCCATATAGGCGAAAGTGTAGATTGTTTGCCTAAGAAACAAAGAAAATGCAAAGAGGAGAATTTAGCTGATTTGCGAATAATACAGCCGATATTTTAAACAAGCTGAAAACAGGGGATTATTGCCTACCTTGAACAGCAGATGACGGAGATCGAACAGCTGAAAACTCGGGTCGAACAGCAGGTGACGAAGATCGAACAGCTGAGAACTCAGGTCGAACAGCAGGCCGTTGAAAATTTGAAGTTGTTCTGTGAAAAAACATATTACCCTTTAACTTCTGATTAGATTCAGGGACCGTATTCTCGAGCCTGCCCTAATGATTTTCGTATGCGACTTTCTATTTGAAAAGCATTGAATTTCGCATGCGAGTCATAAAAACGATTCGAGAATAGGGCCCCAGTTAACATGAATAATACATACTGTCGGGCTATAATATGATCCGCAAGGAATAGAAGGTCATTGTAAAATATCCAAGTAGACTGGTAGGTAGACGTGTCAGCCCCAGCTCCTGATCTTGGCACTGACATTGTGACTTTTTTTCTTTCCTTTCCAAACTTTTCACGGAGACGATGGAAAAGTTTTTCTGCTTGCAAACCTGAAAACAGAATGAAGTCAGACCATATAATTGTTTAATTTTTTATAATTTATTTACATTAAAATAATTTTTTTATATATTATTTTAATAAAAAAATTAATTTTATATTTTTAAAATTAAATATTTTACTAATACTTTAAATATAAAAATAAAGTAATTTTTAAAAATATATTATTTTTCATATTTATTTTAATTTTGTATCTTTTTTATATATTTATATATTTTTTAATTAATAAATTGCTATTTTATTATAATTAGAATACAATTTTTTTTATTAGCAACAAGTTCCTAACCTATAAATATGATACACATTTACTTACCAGTGAGTGCTGGTGTCATCGCTGCCCCTATACTTGCCCAAGTGAGGGATTTATCTTGGCACTTGCTGTAGCCCTTGCTTCTTTTTACGTACAGTTGAGTATTGGGGCACACAAAGTGAATGAACGTACGGATATATATCTCACGTTCTTCCGAAACGTTATTCCCTATTTCATTACTTTCTTCCTCATTATAACTTTCTTCCATGTTTTCAACGTTCACACTATATAGAGGTAAAGCCGGCGATGATACTTCTTCTTCTGGCACAAAAGTTTCTTCACGGATAGCATCGGCCATCCGGCGATGATACGTGAGCGACCCAAGCCGTTAATTTAACCTACAAAACAGTCGGCGTAACGTGGGCGCAGGCGTTGGAAATAAAAATAATTTATTTCTCCTGCGCCGTTGCGCCGCGCCGCTACGATCAAGAACAAACTTCTTGCGCCTGCGTCTGCGCCCTTACGCCGTCTTACGCCTTGTCGTGTAGACGAGCCTTAAGATTCCGCGATTTCCGCGCGAGAGTTGACATGCCGCGCGCGTGG